AAACAGATTTTAAATATATCCCGGTAGGGATATTATGCCGATAACACGGCGTAATCATAGTTATAAATGTTTGCCAAGAGTTCGAATAAGATTGCATGAAGATTGCAAGTGCTGGGGTAAGTCGAATCGTCATTAATACATTACAGATAAAAATTATTCTAATCTGTGAAAAACAGGTTAACTCAACAAAGTAGATGGGGGTAACAATAAATAGCGTTGTAAATTAGTAAGCATACCGCTTGGAATCGTTGAGAATATAGAATGAACACGATATGTGTATGAACAGAGCCACTGCAGCACTGAGTATCAACAGTGCTACCGGTATATATATACAAATTTCGAAAATGCAACAAAGCACAATAATAATAAAGTGGTAAATATGATAGCTTTTTACAAAAATATATACGAGATAGTTATTAAATTGTATTTGGTGAGAGACCAATATCAAGGATCATGAGTGTAAAAGTGTTGAAAGATACTGCTAACACTATACGATTAGGCTATGAGCAAAATTAAATTACCATTGTATGACAAATGGCCATACAGTATAATATAGTGCAGAGCGTGCACTATGGAAGTAGATGATAATAAAGAAGCAACTTAAATATTTACATGAAACATTCAGATTCACTTATTACAGGTACTGTCGACTCTGGGAGGTTGTGGACCTAGTCAAGTATTCTGCTGGCAGTGCCGAGGGAAAGTCAGTAAGCACATCAAACAGATGTGCTGGAGAAAGACAGGTAGGATGAAAGCATGAAATTTTTATATTTTATTTTGAAAGTAGCATATGTGGAGTCACGTAAACTTTGGGGAATGTTATTCCAAATTATTACGCCTTTGTATTTCAGGGAATTTTGAGATTTGCTCAGCGAAAAGCGAGGTACAAAAAGATTGGATTTGGTCGAAGAGCGTGTGTTGTGTTCATGCACAGAGGTAAGCGAAACAAAATAATTGTCGAACGCTGTGGGCAAGTAATTATTCTGAAATTGGTGCATAACTTTGGCAATCTCTAGAGCATAGGTTCTCAAAGTGCTCCGTACGGAGCCCCAGGGCTCCGCGAGAGAAGCCTAGGGGCTCCGCGAGCTATTTGATTATTTTCCAAAAGACTGACTTGGCTAATTTTGTAACTGTCCAAGTAAGCAACAACAGCTTTAATAAAATTTGACAACAAATAGCCTCGAAATATGGCAAAGAGGCGGAATTAAAAAATGACATTATTTATAAGCAGGAGCGCAGCCAGGATTCTTAAGAGGGAGGGGGATCAAAATTGGAATCGGAAATTTCCGCGCAACATTATTCGCGATTAAGTAAAAAAACTTTTTTAATGGATAACGAGATTTCTGTTACGTAAAATATTCAATCCATGACTGATTAGAGCATTTAAAATGTCTTGTCATAATAATTTAATTGTGCTCGTCGTTACTCACGTTTGATTCAAGATGACTATGAGAATTACTTACATAAAAGATTACTATTCTAAAATACCATAAAATACGTGATAAACTGACAACTATAAATAAATTGAAATGGTATTTTTGCGATCTTGGGATTAGTCAAACTTTTGTTTCTTTGCACTCGAGATTATTTTTAAGCAAGATATCGCCGTTACAAAAATTTCGAGGTCGATGGTAAAACTCAATAAGTACAATATACAATTGTGCAATCTATGACCATTGCGGGCATATTTGAAATGACTTGTTTATTGGGATAATTCTGTTAAACGTAACCCGCGGTTGTGTCACTCACAATAAAAAATCATTACTTCTCAAATAACCACGGCAATCCGCGGACATAAAATGAGAAACAGTGAAACAAAGTTAAGTGAACGAAGTTCTTGTGGACTACTGTATATCCTGAACAACGCTGATATCATAAGATATTAGAAACGAAGTCATATTGCCCACAAAATAACATACATACCTACTACCGGTGCCAGAAGTTTGATAAGATATTTGTGTCCGTCCCGATCAAAATCATAATCGTAATCATGACTTATTGGTGGATTATAGCGATTTAGCGAATTCGACAACTTTGAGCCTTTCTTGCAACACTGACTCCACCCTATCGCAGGTCTGCCACTCAGATTCTTTGCAAGATATCATCGTCCAAAAAATAACAAGATCTGGGCAAAATACGAACGATTGAAATTTATGTTATTGCATGCGGCTCCGTTGGTAGTTTCAGAATGAATAAAAGGTACATAGCGCGCACAATTGTGACTGTGTTTCTATTTCAGTTGCTAGGATGAATAACCAAAAAAAACCTAACATATCATCAAATATATATTGTCATTTGCAATGTCTAAAAAAGTGTCTGTCGTGTCGTGAGTCTGCTGAAACAAAACTTATAGTGTTATCTTCCGTTTTAAGTTTTAGTTTTAATATTACATAATGCCGCTTTTCAATCAAGAAATTTGAGTTGCGGATTCACCGCCGATTCTTTATTAATTCATTTTAGCATCTCGTCGCCGATGACTATATTAAATTAACATGTTCTTCACATCGAATTCATAATTCCCCACGAGAACAAAAAAGCAATTATCGTTGTCATTGTGGAACAATACACATATATGCCGGGGGAAATTTTTGATTTAGGGAGAATAAACACCGACGTAAAGATGTTTAAGGTATAACGTTTCACGCCCTCGAAAACAGTCGCCAATGGACCAAAATACAATCGCGCAGCAACCTTTTAAGTCTTCCAAAAATATCAAAAGGAAAAAGATTTTACCTCTAGTTTGTTAATATGTTTGTCGAATGTCAAATTTACAGCCTTAATATATATGATTTATCATTGAAATTTAGATTTATTTATGACTTGTATTAATCCTATTAAAAAGGATTAGCATTTAAATCAAGTAAAGTACTTTTAACATACTCAATAATATTAATCGGAAAGTAACAATTTTAAAATTTGTTTTAGGGCTCCGTGAATAATGGTCAACCTCTTCACGGGCTCCGCAACACCAAAAGTTTGAGAACCCCTGCTCTAGAGTATAAATGTCGGATAGTTTCAACACCCTGGTTTTATGGTAAAGGGTGTTTAAGTTTGTACGAATAGACGCTCTGGAGAGAGTTCTAACAGCTTTATTCTGTAAGACCTCCAATTTGTGAATGTTGGTTTGTGTTGCAGAGCCCCATGCAGTTATAGCATATTGGATGTGGGATTGAAAAAGAGCAAAATAAATGGTTCGCAGGGTAGCATCCTGCACATAATGCCTAAGTTTTCTCAAAATCCCAACAGACCTTGACAATTTCTTGTGCATCTCGGTAATATGAGTGTTCTATTTTAAGTTACTATCTATATAGAGCCCGAGATATTTAACGGATTGAACAACTTCCAAAGCAACCCCCCTGATTTTGATTAACATGTTGGAATGTTTTTTAATTGATTTAGGACTGAATAGCATGACTTTAGATTTTTTTACGTTCACAGTGAGTTTGTTGCATAACATCCACTCAATTATTTTATCTATTTCAGTGTTCATAGTATTTTGGAGCGTGGTTGAATCTTTGGCACTGGCAAGCAAGCAAGCGTCATCGGCGAAGAGTTTTGTTAAAAGATTCGAACAGTTCGAAACTTCTTTGAGGCATCATTTGCAATGTTATATTGAAAACGAAACAGCAGTAAAATACTCACTAAAGTTAATTGTGTTTATACATGATTTGGCATATACGTGAGATGTTTTATGCGCGCCTTTCTTACGCATAATGGGTGCTCAGCACTGCATTTCATTACGCAAATATATGGTATTATTTTATGTTTCACCCATTTCAATTTTTGGCCGGCATATTATTTGATAGTTTTTCTTCGTGTGGAATATTTTCAAGTGTGCCTCATTCGCCTAGATTCTAGAGTCTATAACAGGGGTCGGGAACCTTTTTGGCCAAGAGAGCCATAAAAGGTACATACCGGTATTTTCAATTGCATTTCCGTGCGAGCCATACAGCATTTTCCTTTCCTTAATCATGTCTTAAATTTTTACCCAAAAGTACACATACAGGGTCTCAAGATACATTTAATATGATTTCTGATGCTGCATGTTGTTGTTGAAGGCCTTGAACGACTGCTCACATGCAACGAATGTTGAAATCAACCATACTCGTTGCTCTTCTTTCTATTAGGCATCTCTTTATTGCGTTAATAATCAAAATATTACAAATATACAGTAGGAACGGAAGGTTTTTATTTATTGCTCCGCAATTTTATCGCTTCGCGATGTCACAAAATATGATCCAGAATCCCATAGGTTTGTCACAATGACTGTGTGACACTTCTCGTACATAACGTAGACAGGCGCTGAGCGCGTGTTCTCAAACGTATTGGCAAATGTTCTCCAAAATTTGGCGATAACTACTGTGTATACGGTAGTTTGAATTCTGGTAACAATAGTATAGCCTTGGAATAACAGATTTTTCTGGGAGCCATACGCCGTCACCAAAAAAGACATATCGATATATGGCTCGCGAGCCATGGGTTCCCGACCACTGCTCTAGAAGCATATTGAGTGCCCGACATTGCATTATATTACGCAAATATATGTTATTCTTCTCTGTTCCGATCATTTCAATTTTTTGCCGGTCCGTGAGTACATTTAATTTAATTTTACCGGTCCGCCAGGGTAGAAAGATTGGGAACCGCTGCTATACAGCATTCACACATGAGCCAGGAGCTTGGTGAATCGTTCTTGCATACTGACGCTCATAAATAATGATCAGCCATTTATTTATTGAATTATTTTACTGTTTATTTAAATTTACTATTGTGTTGAATTTGTTTGTGGTAATAGAATCTCTCTCTAGCACTTGTGATATTTTAATATTGCTCGTAAGAGTCAATGTATTTTGTGCGAACTATTGAAAACAATAATTATTATTTGATATTATGCAATCACTGCAGCAGTTTGCGCTTGTCTGCGTATGATTTTTCTAAACTGTTGAAGGAAAATAGAATCGATTATTTTAATATAATTGAATGTATTTTATAAACCGTTCCAATCAGGTTCCTGAAGTATAAGTTTCAAAAAACATTGCTTTAATCGTTTACTGTGTCTAACGTTCGTGAATTAGATAAAAAATACGAAGTATTTCCATGTCATGAAAATTATCCGAATCATTGTTACTGCTCTATAATTCACATAATACGCCATCTCGAGTAGACGTTGGTGTCAAATTGTGAATACCAATGTTGCTACGACTTGATGGAACTCTTTGAACAATTGTCATGTGCGTATGAGAAGAAGATTTAGAGGGATATCCAGGATACCATTTCATAAATGGAGCACGACTTCCATCGGAAAGTGTCACGATTCCAGTCTGTAAAAAAAATCAAGCATTGTTTTCTGTAACAAAGCTATTTTTTGTCATTTCATGACATAGAACTAGCGGCTGGCGAAAATGCGGAAGATTTTATTTAGTGTACATTTGGGGACCTGGATATGCTTGCAACATGATTAAAAATTATTAAATTGATATTTTCGTTTAAAATTTAAAGCTCGTTTTATATATATAACTCAAACAGAAAGCAATAATCAAGTCACGAAGAACCTACAAAATGTGGCTCTAACGCGCATAGCAAGTGGTCTTCTTTTTTTTCGAGTAATGTAAAAATTTGTTACAAATACAAGCAACGTTTTTTTTTAAATTTCTCATTGAAACAAAAAATAGAAATATATTTACAGTTGGGTTTGTTCGCATTCCCACCCATATGGCAATCACATCCCTCTTTGCCAATATTTTCGCTCGAAGGAATCTCATCATGGTATTGTAATGTGTCTCGGAATAAATATTTGCTGGTGAGCCATTTCGTTCCGCACATATTCTAGCCAATTTATCATAGCCAGCCACAAAATGATCAAGTCTCTCCACCCAGTAGCATTTTCCATCGAACTTTATTTCACACGCCCCTGAATAATATAGGAAAATGCATGGGTTAATTAACGTAAATCGGTTGTCGGCGGAAAAGCGGACAAAAGCTTAGGGGAAATAATTCACGTTTACTATTTCCGAATTGTCCAGGATAAAATATTCGATTGGACTCTTCTTCATTGAACGAAGTCTACATAAACAGAGCTCGATATTAGTTTTAAAGATTGCTGTTGTGTTTATTTTCATACCTTGTCTGCTTTCTAGAATCTTCATTCGTTCCTCTAATTTTTCTATCACAGAGGTGAGGGTGTTGATGTTCGCAGTCGATTGACTGATAACTGAAACGGATGTAAGAATTTTTTAACGAGATGAAGCCAACAAGTTATAAAAATGATTCCAAATTGCTTCACGTCTTGCAACATTATGATAATATCCAGGAAAATAGTCAGACTTTTTAATCCAGTTAGGTCTTTTCGAAGAGTCGAGTCTTTTACATTCGACCAAAGAATCAGTGTCTTTCATGATCGTCAATGCTTTCAGTCGTACCGCCGACTAAAAAAAATCATTTTACCTGGCGCAATTTTCTCGTCTATTTCAGATTCGATGTGTTCGTAATCCACGACAGCCGGAGGTCCGACGGGTCCAGGTCGCCCTATTTCACCCTTTTCTCCAACTGGTCCTTTCTTTCCCGGAGAACCCTGGGTTCTATCAGTTCCGATTGATGTATGTGCCTCGTCTCGGGCACAAAGTGTTTGAAATAAATTTTCAATTTGCGTACAAGCTGGAGTATCATCAAATGCATTTGACCAGCTAACAAGTAAAAGCAGACCAAGCGTTTTGAACATTAACATGCTGCAGATCTATCTATTGGTGATATATTTTTCGAATTATGCTTATAAAACTATATAATAAGAACAAGAGAGCTGTGCTCAAATATACGGACAAGTCACAAGGTGTCGCTATTTTTTATTCTGACACATAAAAAACGAATCTCTTGAAGACCACAGAGCTTTTTAAAATATGTAAAAGTAATAGCCTTCTGGCACAAAAATTCAATCTTCAACAACTGGAAATTTCAAAGCAATTGGTTCAGTATTCGAAGAGGATGGCGTGTCCAAAAATAAACAGCAATTAAATGGAAATAGCTTATAAAACCGCAATGATATTATTTTATTTTGCTGTGGAAAAACAACTTTCCCGAAGAATTCTTATCTCAACGTAAGCTTCATTCAGTGGGATTCGAATAACTTGGCCGAATGGTTTTTACATTATCATTCTATATAACAGGGGTTCCTAAGCTTTTTTCAGGACGACCCCAAAGACAACTTTCAAGTGTCCAGTGCGACCCCAGGTCAATATATATATTTTTTATGGAACTTTAGAGCTTCTTTAACTGGACTTTTGAGATTGGTCATGTGGTGGTAATAAGTAAAATAAGCTAAAACCAAACAGTGATGTCACAATAATCACCTACATTTTCTATAGCATGAGCATAGACCTACCTACTTATCACTCCGACCCAATTTGTGGTCGCGACCCATGGTTTGGGAACCCCTGCTATATAACGCACTCACATGCGTATTGGTAAAACTTTGGCAATTTATAACTCTAACTTTCATCAAAGATTGCTCATTTCCAGTGCTTGAAATTTAGGAGTACAATGGTTTAAGTATTCCTTTGAACAATGAAAACAATTGTTTATTATTGGACAGTAGGCTATACATTTTATCACAACTCAAATTGACTTGACTAAGTCCTTTTCTCGGTGCACGTTCTCCTAGCCTGCGTCAAACGTTATTCATTTATGCTGGTGGAATGTTGAATGCGAAAATTTTTGTAGCCTCAGCTACATTGCAAGGTGCTGTTTCAGCTAATCGTTTCCTGTTAGTTGGGGTTAATAGGCCCTTGATCTATTACATTTTTTAAGTTTAGTTTATTCGGATCCGTGTAAGCAGTCATCCTATCGGTGCACAATGAGAACTAGCTGACGCACAGGAAACGCTGCATTTGGAGATTTCTCATCCCAACAACAGCTCGTATTGCTTTCAATTATAGGAACACAAACAGTACAATTAAAATAAAAAAATTAAAGTGGTTGACAAACTGTCATCAGCTGTCTCAATTTTAACTGACAACGTTTGTTGAAACGTGCCTGTTAAAATATACCCGTTTTCGTTTTCACCCCATGCATGTTTGAGAAATACCGAAAAAATCACGAAAAAAATAGTTAGGCTACCTACGCAAAGCTGACTAAATTAGTTATTTTGCGTTCCGTAATAGCCGATTAGACTTTGTGGCTAATAATCGCTACTATCTTCAGATGAAGAGTAGTTCAAATAGCACGGGATACAAATGCACAGTTCAAAAGAATTTGACAAAATGCACGGGTTGCTACTATGGCTACGTTGCCATGTTTATGTTAATTGAATTTTATATTGCCAAATGTATATTTTATCTGCAAATTGTGAACAAAGTATCATTTTTTTTACTTAGTTTATAGACATCTAAAGCCGAACTCTAACGACTTAGAACAAGCAAAATTGAAATACTTCGAGTCATTATCAAAAAGTTTCAAATTCGTATTAAACATTGACGAGCTTGTGAAATTATGAGTTTTTTCGTCGACATACGTTTTGCCTCTAAACGTAAGTTTATTGAAATATAGCATGTCAAATGTTCCCCAATAGTTCTGCTAGGGTTTCAGGTATCTTCGAAACCTCTAAAATTGCGGGAAGAAGAAGTTTCAAAGCTCACGATAAACCAATACGCAAAAGATTACTGCCTAACTTCAAAAAATGAATCATACACATGGAGAAATTGAAACGCCATCTTGTGTTTCTCTCAGTTCATTAAATCTATCTAATCTGGATAAATAGCATAATGCATATCAAAATTTACTATTTTTACTAATACAGAGGAATAAAATGCCATTTTTTTGCTTATATTGACAAATATCTAAAATATCTGTAAATATCTAAAACTACACGGTAAAATGCAAAGAGTTCTGTTTAACAGCATCTGACTTCCATATCTTAGGCCCGAAGTCCACAAATCACGTACTTATCGTACGTATCGAATTGCACGAAATTATCAATTTTAATTCTAATCTGAGTCAAATCTCAAACTGATTAAACATCTATCTAGATCCGGTAGAGTCCATTCACGACCTCACGACACGTTCGCGCAATATTATTGAATCGGCAATCCTTGGGCGGCCAGTGGGTGTATCGTGGGCAGTGCTGAGGAAGTCGGTGAATGCTAAGCGCCAGCCTGTTTTGTTTCATTAGGGAATCATATTATCTTATTTGAAAACATGTAGGGTAGGTTCTCAATTATAGATAGCAAACAGTTAAATGTACGGTACCTGTTACATCAGAACATTGCGAAATGCGAAGAAAATGCAAGAAGAAAGCACGTTTCGAAGTTATACCCATATCAAATAAGGCGAAATGGGAACGTGTTTTTGTAAGCAGGAAACGAACTCTGATGCAGAAATGTTTTGAAATTGAAAAAGCTATCGGATGTTCAGTGAGATAATTTTTATTTTAATATTAATAGTTCTGTTTTTGCATGTGCTACAATATCTAATTCTGTTTTTTGGCTACCTCCGTTATGCAATAGTTTTATCATCAAGATCCTAAGGTTCTATCCTAAGATTTAATGATATTTTTTGAAATTTGGTTTAACCTATTAATTATCATTATTGATGATCTCCTATTTTCAGGTGACTCTCACAATCCGAACAAAGCAGGGAGAAATTTGGTATTATGCATCGCATGATAAGTTACGACAGTTTTTGTCGAATGGAAAATTAATTGATGCAAAATCAATTAGAGTTACTGGAAACACTCTGGACCAAAATTTGCTCACTGGACAGATCAATGTTAATGCTATGTTCTAGTTTTAGAAAATTATTATGGTTTTTTAAATTAAAAAAATCACAAATAAATGTAATTGTATTGTATACTGAATGGACCAGGCCCCTTCTATCTTAAGAATAAGTTATCATTTTTATCCCAGGGAGAGAAAATCCGATAATACGACTTAATCATATGGCTTCTTGTCTGGTTGCCAGTCCATGTCAGATATGGGATTAGAAAGCCAGTTATTTGTTTTAGATGCATGGGCTTGATGGTGGAGGAAGCCGTAACTGACCAGCGGTTACATGAACCACCCTACAACGGTGAGGAGTCAGCAAATTTTTAGCACCACACGATATTCGAACCAGTAAACCAACGCATTGTAATCAGAGGTGCGATGGCAAGCGGATTCCTAAGGCTTGCCGCACTCGCCATATACCGTGTAATATTATGCATACTGTTCACAGATGCACCATTCAGAGCTGAGTTGATTGTAAAACTATAAAGTCATTGTAAATGTGTGGTTGGATTAATGCTTATGTCATTGGTGTCATATGTTCTTTGATATTCTTCTCCCCAGCTTGCTTGAAAATAAAACTATTCACTATTATTGCAATATATATTTTCTGGTTTTATTCATATTTAATAGCAGTACAAACCTTATTCAAGTAATTGTTAATATTGAATTTTTCAGAATATGAAGAATGCTCATATTGATGAAGATGAAAATGGCTGGGAACAACCTCCACAATGCGCAACAGAAGAAGACTTTGATGGATCCGACTCTTCGAATGGTACGGTTATAAAGGATAGCGGGTGTCACGTTCCAAAATGCAATGGATCAGGAATCAAACGTCCAACTGCAAGTACCACAACATGCAAGACTACCAAAAAAAATAATCATGCAATTCCTGTATCAAACAGAAAAAAGAAACCAATACAGAAAAAATATTTCAAAGCATCTGGAAAATCTTCAGGAAATCTTCAAAAAAAAGTTCCAAATATTGCAGAAAGTTGTACTAGCCCAAGTATTATCCTTGAAACACATAAAAATAGAAAGCACAATCAAACTAAAAATAAACCATCTACTAAGGTAGATTCAACAAAACGTAACAAATCTAGTTTGGGATTACGTGGCTCGGGTGAATATGTATTCGATTATTCATCTTCAGACGATGATATTGGACTTACGAAAAAGCAATCTTCAGTGAATTCATCTTCTAACATTAAAGTTGTTTCTACCACATCCTCTGATGATTCATCTTCTTCCAGTGATGGGTCTCATGTTGAACCTGATCAAATCGATAGCCATATTGGATCTGCAAAAAAGCCGTCTTCGCTGAATTCATCTTCTAACATTAAAGATGTTTCCATTACATCCTCTGATGATTCATCTTCTACCAGTGATGGGTCTGATGCTGAGCCTGATCAAACCAATAGCCATATTGAATCTGCAAAAAAGCCGTCTTTGCTGAATTCATCTTCTAACATTAAAGATGTTTCCACCATATCCTCTGATGAATCATCTTCTACCAGTGATGAGTCTGATGTTGAGCCTGATCAAACCAAGAACCATATTGGACCTACAAAAAAGCAATCTGTAGTGAATTCATCTGCTAACACTCAAGTCGTTTCCGTCACATCCTCTGATAGTTCATCTTCTTCCAGTGATGGGTCTGATATTGAGCCTCATCAAACCAATACTCAAAACAAAAGCCATTATGTTAAGCAAACCTTTACTACTATAACAACTGTAAAATCAGATTGTGACAGTAGTAATAACACACAGCATACAATGGATCAAAGTGCTGACTTGAGTTGCCATAGGGGCCCATCTGACAAAAGTCCTAGTAATGCTAACACGACTACAGGCAAAATAAAGGGAAAAAATCATGTACCAAAGATTTCCACTCCCAAACACCCTTACACTAAAAGAAAGAGACTATACACAGACCCTGTTTCTATAACGGAACAACAAAAAATAAGCGAATCACCGAAACAGTTACCATCTACTGGTATCTTGAATGGTAATAATGATTTTGATAGAAATTTAAAGCGGGACGAAAGGACTTGTGATCCTAAAAAACTAAAGAAAACTGCTGGTGATAAAGGTTCTGTCTTGTACCCAATCTCACCTAATTCATCAAACACCATTCGTCCGCATTCTAAGAAAGTATATCGTAATGACTCCTCCAAGAAGCAAAAATTCAAATCATTGGTCAATTCAGATCCATCTACTGATGTTTTGGTTGAAGTAAAAAATGATCTAGAAAGAAACTATTCAATACATGGTCTTACTACATCAGACAAGACAGCCTCGAATAACTTTGGTCGTTGTTCACATGACAGATTCAATGAATCGACAAATATTAAATCTTCGGATGCACTGGGTACTTTGAAAAATCAAAATGAAGAAGAAGGACCTATGCCGAAAAAAGTTCCCAAGAAATATAATAATCAGCACGGAAATCAGGAAAAATCTTGCTCAGGAATTACTAAATCACCCAATCGGGATAATGATAAAGTAAAGTCAAAGAGTGTTTACAACAATTCTTTTTCTGATCGATTAGCGCCTGCAAAAGAATCTTTCATTAAAACCTCACCTCGACAAAAAGTAAAAACTGAAAGAAATAAGTATGATTTCCTAGAAACTGCTGGGAAAAACTTGCCACCTTTCCCAAAAGCAGAAACTTTTTCTAGAAAAAAATTAAACACTTCATCTAAAAGAAATCAAAAGCATGATTCTGATTACCATCAACAACCAACTCAAAATGAAACGGAAAAGCCCATCCCAGAAAACATTTCTAAGAAATATAATAATCAGCATGGTAGTCCAAGGAAATCTTTCTCAAGGTTTTATAAACCACCCATATTTAGAGATAAACTAAACTCTGAGAGTGTTTACAGCAATCCTTGTGATGATCGATCAATACCTGCGGAAGAATCTTCTGTTAAAACGGCACCACAACGCAAAGTAAAAACTGAAAGAAATGAGTATGATTTCTTTGAATCTGCTGGGAAAAACTTGACATCTTTTCCTAAAGTAAAACCAAAGTCCACAAAAAAAATTTACCCTTCCACAAGATGGAATCGAAACTTTGATTCTAATTGTTATCAACAACCAACAACGAGAAGTGGAAATAACTCAATTCCCAATGCCAAGCGCAATGTTGCTAACTTTAGGAAAAGGTCACACAGTGACACCTTCAAAAGCAACAACAATGGCACCTATGGTTACTGCGCAAAAATTCCAAAGAAAAATAACTTTGTTGATAACCGTGTAAAAGTTCCGAAGAAAAGTAACTTTGTTGGTAATCGTGCAAAAGTTTCAAAAAACAATAAATTTGTTGATAATCATGCAAAAATTCCAAAGAAAAATAACTCTGTCTATTATAGAGAATATTATCGAAAGCAAGAAGTTGATGGTCCTATCAGAACTACAAACAAATATTGGGATACATCGTATGGTGGTTATGACAATACAAGCTACAACAAATTTTCTGATCAAAATTGGTATACAGTACGTGAGTTTTCGGAATCAAAACTCTGTGGTCAGCGATTCAAGAAAATGACTTGCTCTCAGGAAAAAGATTGGGGCGGGTATGGTACGCAGTATAGTAATACAAACTATTTGGCTAATAGAAACTCCAGGCAAAATAAAGAGTCTTTTTATTCAAGTAGCAGGTTTAACCAACCTTTAAGATACAGATGAAAATGTTGACTGTCAAGCATGAAAGGTATCATGACATGATCGTGGTAAAAAGAAAAGTTCCATAAGGAATTACATCTGTGCCTGAACTACCCACCGATCACTGTTTTATTATGATTACATTAGTTGGTACACAATTTATATACTTTAAATGTAAGCATTGAAAATGTTCAGATGTTTCTAAAGAACCACATTATAAAATTACAGCCAAGTCTTAAAAACTGCAATTAAGCAATGAATGATGGTGAAATTTTCATCCTAGACGTTGCTTCAATAATTATTGAATGGTGCATTATTCGTGTATTTAAGTACATGTAAAGGTGCTAAAGGTTGTGAATTTGTTTTAAATATTTCTTTTTGTGCCTTTTTTTTATATTTAAAATGCCGCTAATTTTTGAAAAATTGCACAAATGCTGTATGACAGTCCTGTCCTTTCGGCACATATATTTCGGTATAGTTCTCTTGTTTAAATTGTTCAAGCTGTTGTGGGACAGTCACTATTCCGGACCAACCAGGAGATCAGTTTTAGGATAGGATTTTATGGGCTTATAAGCCATTTCAATCATTTGACGAAGCAGGGTGTCTCTCGTCAGGTTTAAATAAACTTTAATGGGATGCCGTGTGTTATGCGTGAGAAAAATGATTGCTGAGTAAACATGGTAATCGTTATTCCTCCATAGGGTTTGAAATTTGTAAGGAAAGACTGTTGTATTCGGCTAGCGTTTGAAACATTGCTTCCGGGATATTACATCTGATATTTTGCGAATATGACTACATATCAATTTTCGGTGGTAGGCCGCTCCACCAACGGATGTTCCGCTGGTCACCGACTGACATCTTCATTTCCGCGGTATCGCCTGCAATATGTCAAAGGTGACATAACACACATGTAAGTTTCAAACGTGCTCTGTCATCTAACACGGCTCCTTCTGACAGTTTTGCACATACCTGATAAAACACCCTCACGTATATTTTAGGTAGAAAGATTTTGAAATGACAATGTTAGCCGAACACACGGCTAACGGCTATTTTCTATCTGTTGAATATCGAGATCCGAGAAAACATACGAAGAAAGTTTTTTTTCCGAGAATTTCAAATATGATTGTACACTTTGGAGCCAAAAAAAGTCTAATTGATGAAGGAAATATCACATCTTCCACAAGATACTCCGACCAAATTATTGAAATTCCCGAACATTCCACAACAAAACTCAGCACGTCATCAAAATAATGGTGTAACTACTTCAACATCTTCAGAAATAATTTGTAAGTGTCCATCGACGATCAGCAAATATCCCAAATTGGAAATCCTTTTCCGCCGTCTTTGGCTTGTAAAAGAGACTTTTTCAAACATTCCACATGGTAGACCCGCTACTCGTTAAGCCAATTAGGGGGAGTTAACTCTGATGACCTTATGGTAGGCGGCCATATAAACCTGCTAATGTATTATCCCCAGCCACGTTTTTTTGTTTCATTCGGCGCCAAGTATTCTAAAATATAATTTTAAATTAGAATAATAGTCAACGGTACAAAATTACCGCACAGTAGCGCAAGTTGTTATTTTACAAACCAAACGTTTCGTCATATTTTATGATTGAGCTTCCGTTATGATACAAATGTACCAAAAATTATTTCAAACGTCATTTGTAAGATAGGTGCGCAAATTTTAGTTGAGGGTGAACTTCCATATGTCAGATCGGTCACACAGTCGAGTTTGTTATTATATCAACGCCTTGTAATCACAGTCAATACTTTTACATCTTTTTTAATCTAACATCAGGTTGAAACGTTTACGGCCAAATCGTAAATGATCACCAGGTCTAGGGTAATATTATTTGCATGTGCCTATAACAATATAATAAGGTCAAAAAGCGTACAATGTACGTGCCCACCAAAAAACAAAAAAAAGTGATTTAGAATCGGGCAGTACTTTGAAAGCAATTTAACAAAAACAGCAAATTGAAGTAGATAATCGAATGTAGTAAACTTCTGACAACTTCTTCAGTCTTTGATTGATGAAAATTTGAACCACATGTTGGTATTCAATTAGGATTTATTGAGAGATCATCAGAATTAATATATAATATTATACTTTTCTGCCCATGAAATTCTCCGTACGCACCGTCGGGAGTATCTTGGATTGCATAACACGCTACAGGATATTCATCGAGATTGTTCGTGTGAACTATTTGATACCAAGCACGAGGCAACCGAAACGATACAAAAGTCTCACTCGCTGTATTTTTCTTTATTCGAATCGTTTCACAATAGCTAAATTCGCTGTTTAGGTTCTGTTTTTATATTTCCTGCTCGTCTTTACATTTTTTTTTATTTGATTTTTGAGAAATTCCACATGGAACAATTATTTGATAATCGCCCGCAGTGACATTCAAAAACTTCTTTTTGCAAACTCTTCGGCATTCAAGAAGTTTTCAGGATTTATGTACGGAACTTTGCAACTTCAGCTTTAGTTAAAAATATCTTACCATGTCATAACTAACATCGTCAACTATTGGTAAAGTGCACTCTTCATTTCTATTTTCCATTCGTGGCTTTCAGGCGACCGTAGACACAAAATAAATAGCAAGAATCGACAACAGGTTTGAGAAGATCATCATTACTCTCAAAGGCTACTTCTCGAAATGAGAATTCACGACTTTTCGGGTATCTTATGAAATCGAACCAATAGTAGGTCGGGGTAAATCGTACACCCGGGGTATGATGGTCAGTCAAAATAAAATCCTCATAATAGCGACACCTCGCGCTTTTTCGTCGCTCAAAACGCACCGCGTGAAAGGTACCAAACTCGGTTCTATTTTTTTTTTTTTTTGAAAATAGTTGCATCAGATCGAATAAATTCTTTAGCAGACTGCCAGTACTCATTTTGGGGTTGTTAGGGTCACTTAAGAGGTAGGGTTGATTTTGGATGGGGAAGGTGGGAGGATTTTTTTCAAGTTTGTCTGTTGGAAATGTCAATGGCCGTCGTCATCGAAACTTGTATATAATTATTTTTTGGTACAAAGTACCCTTTTACAACAAATATTAAAATGCACACTCATCGCCATATTTCTACTGGGTCTCCTAGAAGTTAGGTCCGGCGTGAAATTTCATCTTACCCCGTCCAATTTTTTTCCATATGCGTAAAAAATACGCCCAAGGTTATGCCAAAAAATTACAAAACAGATACTTCTAGAGGTAGTCCGTGTAACGAGGATATAAAAATTGCAGTTGAAAAAGTGCAAACTAAATTTTAAATTTCTAGTTTACCTAAAACTGTTCAAGCTCTTTTGAAAATTGCCCTGTTATGTCCTTTATGGGGTAAGACGGACATACTTTTTAATATGCAAGAAAAGTGATATGTTTGAAAAAATGTAAGAGACATAATCCTGGGGCATCTAGGCGTTGACCGAAGTCTTATGACCGAAATCTTAGACACCATCAAGTTTATTTTGGTGTGTGTCCGTCTTGCCCACAAAGTGTCTAACTTACCCCGATATTTATTTAGCTGAAAATCGTTGCTATTGCAACAATGTGCAAATGTGGCAAGATAGCTGGAGGGTGGATGCATAAATCAAACGTAGAACGAATGCAGCTACGACATTATTTGAAGAGTTATTCAAAATAACTTATATATTAGTGGGTCCGACTTCCCCGACCTACTTATAAGTGATGTTGATATTTCGTGCCACTGCTTTTAACACAAAACATTGTAATCCGTACCGCTTTGAACTACAGAACGATTGTCTGCGAATAAGCAAACGTTTTACAAACGTAAATTGACAGAGTCCGGTTATGGCTTCCTCTACCATCAAGTTCATGCTACTGAAAACAGAATAACTGGTTAACTAATCCAATACCCACCTGGCAAGCGGACGTGAGGCCGTTGTTAGCCATATGATTAAGTCGTCGAAACCAATGAACACACATGAACTTCATTTAATTTAATTGAGAAATATTCAGGCGGCGAAAATATGTATATCGAGAAAGTCCTGGATCCTGTTGCTATGGTGTTGTCTTGTTTCGGAGTCATCGATGCTCATCAAATTTTTTCACGTGAAATGACAAGTCAATAAATATTATGCTGTTTTCAATCTTGTATTGGAAACAGAGAACATGTATTTATCTTAATTTTGATTAAAACTCACATCATGCTTTGTTTATTCCTAAAACTTAATGTCAATTGTTTGAAAAAAAATATTGTTTATAAGTCAATTACAAAAACAATTCGATTAGGTCTCGCAGCACCACCATTCCACAAGACAAGAAGACCAGTTTTCCACCAGATTTGAACTCGGCCAAAACGCAGAACGTTTATCTTATCTGTACTGATTAATGTAAGTTTTACTGGTAGTGTATTTCAAATAATTCGAAGTCTTATATTTACTTGTATAGCATTCAGCGTTTTCTTTTGTACGTAATAGTAACCAGTCTACATACCAGTATCCTTGCCTAAACGAAGGTGCTATTTTTCATATAACTTGAGTTAGAATTCAGATGATCATTGTTATATTTTTGTTATTTTTTTCCAAAGTGCATAATTTTCGTACTTGGGGCTTTTAATTCTATCTTTCTGTGTTTTCTTATAGCACATACAATCTGAATCGTATACTACTATACCAAGATTGCCCATTTTGAATTATTTTCTATTCAAGCAGTACCGGTACGGCACACTATCCAAATTCCAAGAATTTCCCTCCATTCGGCTCAATAAAACAAACACTCCATTTGTCTCACAAACGAGGGGCGTCTGGCACCACACCAGATGCTCCATATCCGCCATGCTTGTCTCAATAATAATCTGAAATTATCGCGGCTGTCACGTGACCAAACTTGCCGTTTTTTGCTAAAAACTCTCGAATGCCACGGTAAAAAAATTTTTCCTTCGGTGAATCGGATTATTTTTTCACGAGAATTTGAATGATGACGTTATTAGATTGCGCTTTTTTGTAGTATTTTGCGCAACTTCATTATACTGTATTAATACTGATATTGAGGGACATCAATGTCCAGACGTCTCCCAAAGGAGGGGTGTCTGATCATCAGTAAAATGGGTTTCTCTGAAACGAGACAATGTCGCCCGATCTATATAGTGTGCCGTACTGTCAAGGCATATGATTTTGCTCTGAACACGGCTCTGCTGCAAAATCAGCTACTAATATGTAAAATGCTACTTTGTTTTGCTATTGCCTATCCAATTTATTACAATCTTTAACAACTAGGCAGTACCGCACACTTTACAGAATAAGAGACATTGTCTCGTTTCAGAGAATCTCATTTTGTATGTAGTCTATGTATGTTTATTTGTTCGTAAAAGCAATATAAAAGAATTAGTGAGTATAAATAGACTACTGAAGACAGGATGTATGCACAAGACCATACTGGCCCAAAACACTGTCAATGAACAGCCACCCCTCTTTTCGGGGGCGTCTGGTGTGTGGTCTGAAAAATGATGTTGCGCAATAAACTAAAAAAAAACGCAAACTGAAAACGTTTTAATTTAATTCCTCAGAAAAAAGAATCCGATTTACCTGAGGAAAAATAATTTACTGTGGCATGCGAGAGTTTTTAGCCCATGAATGTAACATATTTTGAACAAAATACTAACCACATTCTTTACTCAATTGATTGATCAATTTCACTATATTGTGTTATTTTTACATGTTTTACAGTATTTCACATTTTTATGACAATCCTTTTATAATTTGGTGATAGTTTTAAAATGACAGGTAGTGGAGAAATGCAGGTTGATGTCCTCACAACAGATGATATTAGAAGAAATATACAACGCCATGTAAATTGTTTATCAGATTCAAGCAAGATAACTCGAAAAAGGGGACTCTTGGAGATTAAAAAAGAGACAATATCACGAAAACTTGGTAGTACAATATTACAAGATATTTCTGCTGATATTTTAAAACCAGTTCTCAAATGTTTTTCTGATACTTCTGAAATAAATCGAGAACTGTCTGCAAATTTTGTCATTGAGTACTTCACAATTTTACCAACCACAGAGATGTCCCTCGGATATATCTTACCGTGTCTCGTTCAACGACTTGGCCAAGAAGAAATTGTTGAACCTTCAGAAGAACTTCGTTTACTTCTAGTTGAGAATTTACTTGGACTGACGATAGAATTATGTGGGAAAAAAACTGCAGGGTTTTTGGATGAATTGATTCAGATCCTGAAACGCACAATCATTGATCCTTATGGTGAAGTTGTGAAAGCTAGTTGTAAAGTCGCTTCAGAATTAGCGAGATGTGTCCCGGAATATTTTCACATGCAGTCAGAGTCTTTAATCCTCCCATTAATGCACAGTATAAGGCATCAACATTCAAAAGTGAGTAAAAAAATTTATTTTTTGCAACATTGCAATAAAAATTTCATCTGACTGTAACTTAATAGCCTTATATTTTATCGATTGTAATCAGGCAGTGTGGATTGAGGTCTAATGTTCCATTTTTCTAAAATTCAACTTTGCCATATGACTTACTTTACTGAGACTTGCCAATCCGAATATAGAAAGCAGGGCTCTAATTTTAGGTCAGGGGTGGGCAAACTACAGCCCACCGTACGTAGTGTTTCATCCGGTCCACTTGTGTCTGCTGAAATTACGATCATAGTTTTTATGAATGTAAATTTATATTGAAGATATTGATGAAAATAAAATCATAATGACCCGATTGTTACATTGTGCTTCTTATTATTATATAAACGTCAGCTTAGCTTTTGTAAATAAACTGTTTTTTATTTATAGTTTTTCATATTGAATTTTTAACCCCTGGCCCAGTAAACAGGTCTATTTTTTGTCACTGGCTCACTCAGAAAAGTAATTGCCCACCCTGTATTTACATATATTTAGCGGAATTAATATATAATGGAACTACTAATTCATTAGCATATTTAGCCTCCACTCAATTTCAGTATTGATCACATCACTTGTATCTGGTTGTTGATCTGCACAAATTTTGTTCATTATCTTGACAGATATGAATCTTCAAATTTATATAAGTTGTTGTTTTCATGGCCATACCATTCTCTGTTTTTGACAGGTGCGTGTGGCAGTACTTGAGGCTACTGCTGATGTACTTCAGTATGGAAATGGAAAAAATATGGATGACGTTATTTCACATCTGGCTCAGAGATTTTTTGACCAATCTTCTCAGGTATTTTCTTTTATTATAGAAGCTTATAAACTGTAGTAAAGACATTGACAGGATATTATATTTTATACTTTTATACAGGTTCGCAAATGTGTTACAAGAGTAATAGGAAGATGGTTGCTAGAACTACCAGATCGTTATTCTTTCTTCTATAAATTTATACCTTTGTTGTTGACGAGTTTCAATGATGAAATGCCAGATATAAGGTACGGTAACTAGTTAGTTAAATATGGAAGAGATTTGCCAAGTTTTATTGTTGTCACTGCATGCTTCAACAATAAATACCTCATTTCAATATACTTTGGGTTGGTTGTTGTTATTTATGTGATGTCATGACTCATAAATTATGAGTGACATTTTCGAAAATTTTTTTATTTTGGTAAATTCGTTCATTTCATTTTTTCATTTTATCATATCATTGGAATATAGTATTTTTTATTGAATACAATGCTATGTAAATATTGCTTAATCATGGTGAACCATGGCTGCTCGTATTCTTACAGTTCATGCTGGGTATGGGGATAATTTATATTTATAATATATGTGCAATGTCAATAGCCTAACTCATATTAGTCATTTCCATTATTATCATATTAATTGAAAACCTCCGTGAATTTAAAGTATTTGTTTGTGTTCTTTTCAAAAAAGTAAAAAAGAACAATTCCTCAATGTGATTTTCAATGTTGACTTTTCTCATTTCCTGTTCTTTCAAGTATAATACCTAAATTTGTTACCATTTACAATTTTAATACTTTGATTCCATTGACTTTTAGGGAAGAAGCAATAGATTTGTGGCATAGAGCTGGTGTATTATACGAACAAGAAAATGAGAAAGATTTGAAAGATAAATTGGATTTTGAAGCTGAGATTCCTGCTCTATATCCAAAGAATGGTATTGCGCAATTTTTTTATCATATTTTGATGTTTGTACTATAAAATAATTTCATTGGACAGAATGTGATTTTATACTCGTTGATGGAATATACATTGATGTGGTTGATACAGTAAGGTTGATATCTAGGTTCAACCAGAAATGGGATTCAAAATTTTAAGAACATGTTCTTTTTGTATCAAACTCACTAACAACAGGTTCCCCTATTTCAGAAAATGTATGTATGTCACTACGTAAGCTACTAATACGTGACACGCGTTACATATATCTAATAAACAACTTTTGAAATATCGTATATAATGCTAGTCCTCTGCTGCAGTGCATGATACCCATTTGGTTCGGTCGTCTACGCGGTGTTCTTTAAACTTTTTCTATCACGACCCACCTGGCAAACCTTTTTTTTTTTTTGCGACTCTCAGGAATTTTATTGAGACCCATCTGCATGCATATTCTTGCCAAAAAGATATTAAATCTTTCGGCGATGGTGGGTATCAGTACTGGTTCCAAATCTTCCTAATTTGATCGATATTTCGTTTTAACATAAGTTAGTGTCAAAAAAGATTTTTCACGCAGATCAGTAGAGGCAAAAGTAAGAAGAGAAGTATGACCACTGCGTTCAACTACTTTTTTTACTCATTATAGCTGTACTTGAATGGCATTCTACATAGTGCTCTCCATTCTGTATTCTTCATAGTGTTGTCCATTCTCTATATGGCAGGCCATCAGCCATGTAGAGTAGACAATTTAAATTGTGATTCGAACCATATTCTGATTTTTGTTTCAAACATAATTAATTTTTTGCCAGTGCAAAGACCTTGTGTTGGTTGTCGTGAATTGGTTCAAAGAAATTTATCAAAATTGATGCCTGCAATTATACGAGATCTCGGTGATTGGGTTCCAGAAACAAGACAGAAAACTTCACAGTTGCTTCATGTATTGCTGCTTCATGCTGAGGAATATACAACCCAACATATGCAACCTCTCATGCAAGCATTAATTCGAGCATGCGCTGATAATGAGAAAGATGTCTTTCTGAATGTAATGCAAGTTTTTTATTGTTGTAGTCGTAAAAGCAATTGAAGATACTATTTTGCTGAATACTGTAGGAATGATTATGTGCTTGATTTGGCTCACCTCCTTACGATCGGTTACAGTTCAAATAACCTCTGGTCGTTTACAGCACGGGTGTGCAACCTGTGGCTATCGGGCTGAAATGGGGCCTACAAGGAAAAATTATGCGGCCTGCGGAGAGGTGTCAATTTTGAATGGTATTCGGCCTACGAAACAAGTTCTTATTTTTGTTTAATCATTTAATTAATGGTACATGCGACTAATCCCAATTCTGTTGTGTTGCCAAGCCTATATCGGGGTCCCATTTATTATCTCTGCCTAGTTGACGGTACAACAGCTAGCTTGTGCGAAGCAAACACTGCATGTCATATGATCAATAACCGAAATTTTTGTGCCACAACTACTAGAAAGCCTATATTGAAGGTGTGATCCGCAGTATTAGGCTTCCTGTACCATCTTTGTCCATGCTTTTGGGATGCTATTTTGACTGCTGTCTTATTACCAGTAGCTGGGTAATACACCTTGGTTTACCATACAATTAAGCCATTTATTTATAGAGATAAATTTGTGATTTGTTGAACGAACATTCTGTTGATAAAAATAAAAATTCTTTTGTCTTCTTCTTTTTGAAACCCTTTCGAGGTGTTTAACTTTGGCTTCCAAAGTTGAAAACGAATGAATTTCCATTTCATTTAGTTATACTGTAATTAATATCTCATCATCTTTTCTCAGGCATTAGAAAGTGCAGAATTAATTGGTGCATTCGTTGAACCAGAAATTTTTTGTAAATTTGTTCTTCCTGCAATCCATTCTCAAGCTGGTGTCAATCCTAGTGCACTTGAGGTATTGTTTATCTTTTAAAATTGAACTTAATACCTAATCTTTGAATGGGTATAGGTGGCTATACTGGCTAATAGCTATATTCAATTTATTTAGCTTGTTAAAGCATTGCTATGGTGGCGTGAAAGATTAAAATATTCAGAGCAAAATGTGTATACACATATTGTATAAAAACAGATTTTTCTAAAATTAGTGAGTTATTATTTTGCTCTGGCTATTTCTGAAAAAGTTGGTATTCAAACTCTTTTTTACTTTCCAAGATTTTAGCTTCTGTAATTAATGGATGTAGTTGTGAAGTTCTTGGTGAATATCTCAATACTATTGTGGAAACAATTCAGGATAATGATGTTTGTCAAGTGTCGGAAAAGGTTAGTTTTAACAGATTTTATAAGTAGTTCTTGAATCATGAAATCTAAGCGTTTGATAGCTCTAGATATAATGGATTTCCTACATTGTGCCCACGATTCTACGTTCCTGGTATTTTTTGTTGTTGTAAGGATGAAATATTGCACGAGCATACTTTATAGCTTGTCCAACATTATTCAATACAGTTTGAATCACATAACAGAGCCTGAAATAAGAAAGAGATCGAGCATGTCCATGTGCTCATGGCCCTAATAGTGGTTATCAGCTTTCCACTCCTGATAAATATGAAATTCATTTCTTGTTTATACAGCCTGAATATCATATTGCGTTGATAAGATGTGTGAATGCTCTCATAACAACATGCAATGACAAGGCTGATGACATAGGATTATCTTTATTCACCATAATAATCACCGTTCTTGCTTTGAGCAAATCAGCAGACATTAATGCAAAGGTATGTTTTATTTCTAGACGTTCATAAGTCAGTCTATATAATCTAAAAAGTCTATAAATTGCAATACATTATAAATTTTATTATCTATTCACTGCAGAGATTGTCTGTAAATAGTTTTTTTTTACATGTGCTTGGGCTGTATCAATTTTTTTTTCATATCCTAAATCCTAAAATTTGCTTCTTGCCAAAATAGGCAATCAACATCAACCAATAAAGCTATCTTTTTTTGCAACAATGTGCTTATTATTCTTGTTCAACTTTTATTCAAAACAGGGTGACCCCCTTCTAAAAAAAAAAATAGAACCCATACATTTCCTAAATGCTTCGTCGAAAATGGAGAAACATTATTTAACATTAAAAAACCTAAACTTCTGTTACTGTATGATTTACTCAAAGCCAAAAGATTCAATAATCTAGGACACTTGGTACAAAAGTTATACTATATCTATAATATATTCCAAATGACCTTGGTTTGGTTAATAACGGTCACCTGGTTGTTTAATCAATACAGCAATCAGATATAAATATACTTTTTTCATTTTGTTCAAGATTCAAGTTTGTATTTTGGTTGAACATTTGAACTTAAATTTTTTTCTATTTTATTCTGTTCTAAGTGTGAGGAAAGTCTACATAAGATTTCCTTTTCTCTGGGATTGGATGAAGTTCAAGAATTATATGTTCGATACACCAAACAAGTTATTAATTCCATGCAAAATTCATATGAATCGTGGACAAAATATTCAGTGGAAAGAAAAATTTTTGACGTTCTCATTTCCAGATCAGGTGACTAGCTTTATTTATGGTCTATTCACAGTTTTTGAACTTATATACAAGTAGCGAAAACCAGTGATTTTATTCTGGACTCTGAGATGGAGAACCTTTTTTTAATCAATGGGTCAGAAAATTGTATTTTTATTATGGAAACGAAGACTGTGGGTCAAAGATATTTATTCAATAACTGTGTCAATTTGGAAAATGCATCTCTTCTGTAATTCTTATAATCTTCGATGGTATCATGTAGCTTTGAGCTATACACATGCAGCACTTATATCAGGACTGAATAACTAAACGTGAATTACCCTATTAACAGGGCTGGGGAGCTGGCTTAAAATCAGTGTGGCTCCAGCTCCAACTCCAGAGCCAGAGTATATTCGAGCTATGGCTCCGACTCCCAACTCCGGAGCTTCATTTTTTTAGCCCGGAGCTGGCTCCAGCTCCGCACACTATAATGTATTTGATAGTACCGCTAAGCTTATCATTCACAAAAAGTCAATGCCTCACTGTTATTTATTTCATGATTTTATCACACACTTGGTAAGGGAATCATGAAAAAGTCAAGTTAACACTTAATATTGTGAGTTTCAATGGATATCTTATATTACTATATTTCCCGGCTGTTATAGACACCATTTTTTGGCCTGAGGCATCTTATTGGGCAGCTAGGCTTGCTTGATTTCTGTGGCCAACTGATCAGCGTATTTTTCGCAGATGTTTTCTCAAACATGATTTGTGTTAACCGTACATTTGGGTTGATATATTTTATTTTGTGAAGAAAAGATTTACATATAGGAACCGATAAAAGGGCTTAAACATATGGCGAACCACGGCCATACTTAAATTAAATCACATTTGTGAATAAGTATGTAACACAAATTTCACTTGGTAAATTGCTTTTGAACAATAGAATTGCACTCTGAGCACTATTCTATAAAAAACAGGCGATGCAGGATAGAAAACGTGAAATGCAATAATCTTTGTACATGGAATTTTGGAACACTCAAAAATAACAACTTGCCTATTAAAAGTAGTTTTAATTACCGTATGTATTCGAAGACGCCAAAGGGTCTGCTAATCATGATATTTAATTGACTTTGTATTGCCAGCTGTTATTTGTCATATTCCCTACAAACATTCAAAATGATTTCCACTACCTTTTTAACTTAAAATCACCACGTTGTTGTTATGAATAGTTAATTTTGTGAGTATGATTATACCAAACAAACATGATCTGTTTCTAACCATATAAAATTATTACCGCATGGCGCATATTAGTGCGTAACGGTTCCATTACATTTGAACCCACGTACATTTGAACCCATGACAATTGCACCTGTATGCTATTGCACCTGTGGAATTTTTTTTGTTTCTCGGATAGTTAAACCGATACTAACCCTAACCCATGGGTTTTAGCACCCGCATATAGATTGAACCCGTGGATATACGCATGGGTTCAAATGTACTGTCACCGTGCGTAACTGACCAACAGAAAAGCAATTTTTCTGTCGTCTTATTGGATAGCTATAAAAATAGACATCGTCTTTTTTGCCGGGAAATACAGTATATTACTAAATGTTATTGAAATTAAAGTGAATAAAAACTAATTGAACATTGAATGGCCATTACATAATTCATACGAGCATTTAAAATGAATTTGTTCTTAAGAACAGTATCGCTTCTACTAAATCTTCTTTCATTGAGGCTCGCAGGTCCGAACGAATTATGCGCAGGGCCGAAAACAATCTTTCCACACTAACTTGGGTTGGAGGCAATGCTGTCACCATATATGCCACATTTTGAACTATTTCTGGATATTCTGGGATGGCTTTTAGAATATCCAACTTATATGAGCGATCTATTTTTTCTACATCATTTAAAGCAGTGGTTCCCAAACTTTTTTGACCATCGCCCCCCTAAAGTAGTTTATACGACTTCATCGCCCCCCGGCAATACAAAAAAATGTAAAGTCAGAAACGAATATATTACAGACCAAATAAGAAGACAAATCATAGTTTAAATTTGTTTTATGAGATAGTTGAGCTTGGTGTTCTTCAGCGAGTTTTTTATTATATCTAAAATTACCCCGTTTACTGAAGGAAAGGCGATTTCGTTGTTTTGATAGCAATAGTAACACGACTGAAAACCCCCTTTTCACCCTATAATAGGTCATAAAGGAAAGAATCCAGGGTTCTACCTTCTCAAAAACCGCCGTGTACTCTTGCCTTATAGCATTTCACTTCCTAAATTCACCCCATTTCACATTGAAATAATGAAAACAAAGTTAATTTTCCCAAATTTATAATAATGATTTTCGTACATCTCATTCATTGGTACAGCCTGATGACCTGCACCAAAATCCTTCGGTAAAATTCATCCCGCTTCCTCATTCTACTACGGCCTCCAGTCTGATCACCGGTCCATAATTAACCAGCCATTTGTTTTTGGATTCATGGACTCGGATGTAGAAGAAGCCGTGACCGACTATCGGCTACGGCCCATGGGTCGGCAAATTTTCTGTCGCTCGCAGGACAAAATTCAGGGTTGCTAGTCTTTTGCGGGTCGCATATATTTTTTGAAAGTTAAAAACGGAACAGCGCACGAAAACTGCGACAATTCGTGAACTCAACTCAGTCGTCTTATTAAAAAATATTACAATGACATTTAATGTGACACTGTCTTGTTGCTGCATCACGCTGGATAGCTTTACGACGCCAAGATTGAAACATTTTCTAAATGGGCATCACTAATCCCAGTTATTTGCTTGTTCTTTGTAATGTTCATTTTTGAAAATATTTGTCGCACAAATATGTACTTCCAAACATCGAAGTGAATATTTTCGCATTATTTGTGAAATTTTGATAAAGATTTTCTTTAAGAAAATACCTTCTTACAAAAATTAAGCAGTGATGAATCTCTCGAATAGAATATGAATTTTATTTCCTTATTGCTTTGCAATATATTCGAATATTGACTGCGCTATTGAACCCCTGCCCTCAGCATCAACTTTTCTTCGTGTTTCCATTTGTCTAATTATAATTAAATTGTAGGCTCGTAAAACGAGTAGCTAGCTGTTCAATGGAATTTTTAGGATATAATAAAATTTAGTCCAAACGTGTGTCACGATAAATTCTGTTACGTAAAAAAATGTAATTTACTCCTCGAGCGTAGATTATAAATAAAAACATTTCATCGTCAAAACCGCCGTTTGGATGTTTCCCCGGGCATAGACTTCCTTGTTTACTTCGTGACATTGGCCAATCAGCAAGATGCAAAAAACGTAACAATGCCCCCTTTCGCATCCGCTCAGGCTCTCAGACACGCTCACTCAGACAGATTTTCAGGCATGGTCGTGAACATTACCTCATTTTCGCGTTTTTGAATCATATTCGTTAGTTTTTAGTTGTTTTTCGGAAATTTAAATCAAATAAGTCAATGATTACTTTGTCTTCCTATGAGTTTCAGTTTAAATACAGCAATCACAAATTAGTGTAGAAATAGCTGTGATAGACTAGGCTGAAATTCTTTATCGGTACGGTACTTTTAAAAAACAGATTGTTGAATGGTGTGTATTAGAATGATAGTTTGAAACAAATACCCCATTTTACAGGCAACAACTCGCGAAACCATTCTTAAAATAAGCACCGAAAATTTTAAAGTGGTAAAGTATGGGAAGAATTTTCCGCGGTCAAAGGTCGGGGAAAGGTCCATGCAGTGAATCGTCCCGGGCCAGATTATTTTACTGCGGCCGTATTTTGCCGACCACTGGGATAAGCAAACTACCGTACCTTACTGCGAAGACGAGTTCAGCAATCCTTTTGCGTGTGATAATCGCCCACATGATTCAAGCCTGCGAATGCACACAAGAGTACAGAGTTAAGTGCGCCGAACATAAAACAGGTTTCGCGAAATCGCCCCCCTATCGCCCCCTTGGACTTTTTCGCCCCCCTCTGTATCGTTTTCGCCCACTGGGGGGCGATATCGCCCACTTTGGGAATCACTGATTTAAAGCATAAAAGAAGTCTCTTTTGAATTTGGAAAGCGGTGATAGATCTGAATTTGAGTTTCTACTTTCCTTCTCTGTTCGACGACGTTTGGCTTCAATGTCAAGGTGTTTTTCAAAATCTATTTCGCATTCGGAACCAGAATCAGAGGAGTTCCTTAAAGGCCCACTAGCACAGAGTGATTGGTCTTCAAATTGTGTAGCTCGTGATCCACGGTGCATTCGAACAGCTATATCACATAGCGCTGCCTTTCCTCTATTGAGCTGTTCTTCACTTAGGGTAACCCTGTACATAGGATCAACATAAATAGCCGCTAATAATACAGGGTTATCGAGGAGACATTTTTCTCTGCGCAGCATAGATGCTTTTATAGCATCTGCAATGATGCTACTGGATTGTGAAAGTTTATAGATAAAATCTTATATCATGTCTATCCAGTGATACTCCCAATTTGTTAGCCACTTCTCCATTTAATCCGAGGATGCTTTCGAAGAGAACAGTTGAAGTGCAGCTGCATTATTCACCACCAGCTGTATGATATGTCTTTAGTCATGGAAATGTCACTTTTTGACTTGTGAAGTAGTTTGAGACAGAGGTTTGTCTACTTATATCGCTGTCTCTCTTTGTGTCTTCACTGTCTTCTTTTTTGACAGACTCGAAGGCATCAAAATAATGTCTTTCCAAATGCCGCTTCAAATTTGAAGTTTTATTGATGAACCTGAGATTGCAAACGGCCCCATCTTTCTTTAATACTTGGCAGATTAGTGCATTTTTATCTCCACTCTCTTTGAAATATTTGAACACTGCGGACTTTTTACTAATGCAAGCCATGGTACAAGGGTTGCATTCTTACAAATTAATTTTCTCTAATTTAATATTAAATACTATTTAAAATGAAATATTATATTGTCATGAATGGCATTAAGATTAGGTAAGCATTTTCTACAAGCGAGAAATTGTATCGTATACAATATACATCAACTGGCCATTCCGACACTTAGTCATGCAAGCCAGCACGTCATGTTTCAGCATTGCTTGAACATGCCCAGACATGTCTACGTGGTCGTTACTGTTAGTTACGTCACAAGGGTAAATTAGCGATCGGCCGATCGCTTTTTTCTTGTCCACAATTGCCGATGTATTGCGCAAGCCACTCCTGTACTACAATCAATTATTGCGCAATCCCGATTTCGACTAAATCCACTGAACACACTACATGTGACCTACCGCCTCGCATCATTATATCGCGGTGCAATTTACGAGACGAAGACAAGAAAACAAATCGCGTTTTTTTTCGGAATCCATTTTACGTTATATACAACCAAGCTGAGAAAGCCGATGACCTAACCTTATATACGACACTTCAGATCCAAATTCGGGAATATTACATAATATTTGGGGATTCCCAAATAGTCAAAACGCCCCTCTTTGCAATATAGTTTTGTTTTTTACTAGTAGTCGTTAGCGGCAATGAGGTTTTTTAGATCGCCGAAATCAAATTATTCGCAAATAATATTTCTGAGAAATTTAAGTCGTCTGTTTTTTTTTTTATCTACAAAAGTATTTTCAACACTTGCCAGTAAATACCATTTATTAGAAAAAGAAAAGCAGTGAGGAGTTGTAATCAGGTAATCGTAAAACAGCCGGTTGCATTGGCCACTAATCGACATAAATAAATATTAGTATACATATATATATGGTAATTTGATCGTATAGCAAAAAATGAATTAGGTGTGCAACCCCGTTAACGACCGCGACTGCTTGCAGTTCTCAAGCATGAATCTTAAGTTTCACAGAAAACAGTATATCAGAATGCATTACCGCTATTTTTCACGACAAAATAACTTTATCAGTCCATATTGCTATATCAAAGTATTCCGATACTTTTTCAAATTTTAAAGTAATAGTCACTTTTCGCAAGCTGTTTGTTTGTTTCGTTTCCGTGCAAAATCTTCAAACGATTTTATGCACTTTGTCATGTGTTTTTAAGACGACAAAATAGAATTGTTAGATTGTTTGGTATATATATTCATTTTTCAGTGCGCGTTACAGCATTCTTTCACGGTTGCGTGGTGGATATTGTCGCCATTTTCGCATTTATTTCCTGTTACGTCGGGAAATTATTAATTATGTAAAGTTATTATTAATAACTAAACACACTCACTTTTAGAAAACCTTCCCGCAAAGCGTTTATTCTTGCCAATCCCGCGAGCGAATGGAAGTGAAATCAAAATTTGAATATTATTATGTTCACACGTCTCGCTTAGATCCAACCAAGGTCATATATTAAATAAGTTGTTTTCATACGTTTTGTTACGATACCCCAATAAACTTTCGCAAGTCGGAAAAATAAGTTGCTTTATTGGGAAGATTAGGAAAATATAATTTATACTTTTTCCTGCGCTTTGGCGAATAATTTTGTTTATAATATTTAAAAAAAAACGACTTGTCAGAAAATAATTTTCTATTGTGCTAAAAATGTAACCCATTACCGATACCAGCACTCGCCTTATTGTTTTTATTCTGTTCAAAGTAACTCAATGTTGCGCCGACTTACGAACTAATAAAAGCATCTCTAACATAAATGACAAGCTACGGACCAAAAATGTGTGGAAAACTGCCCGATTATAATTAATTTTGATTCATATTTTTGCGATCTTGCCAAATCGTTATCGCCGTTTAAAAATACCAAGATCCGTGATATAATCCAACACTATTTACTTCAGAACAATAGTAACTTGATTAATTATACAACTATTAAGTGTTTGGAGACGCCAGAAATTATAGAATTAAAATCGGCGTAATTATTATTTCTCAACCCTAGAAATTATTAAAAAATCGGAAAAGAAAAAAAAAAAATAATTCTATTGTCAGGAGCTGGAGCCGCTGAAATTTCTGGCAGCTCCGGCTCTGGCTCCAGCTCCATCTATCATGGCCAGCTCAGCTCCAACTCCGACTCCGGCTCCATCAAAATGTCACGGCTCCATGGCTCCAAGCTCCAGCTCCAGCTCCGACTCCCCAGCCCTGCAGTATTATAGTGCTATGAAAAATCATTTTACAGTTTAAAAGAATTTTGAATTTCACTCTGCCCTAATTTGTGACTTGTCAGGTCATCGTAATTCGTAACAACATGGGTAACACTTTTAACACTTTTAAGACCCACTGACCAGTGGCGCCATCCCTGCTGAAACCATATCAACTTCTTTTAAAGACATATTTGTGTTATTGTTTAACTGTAATTGTAATCTTTATATTAAAATATTTGTATGCTAAATACAATTGTTTTTTTATTTATTGAACCTGAAAATATTTTGAAGTCTTAAACAGGTTTATTATGTTTTTAATTTTTTTTTTAAATCTCATTTTTAATATAATACTCATCTCTATCAATTTATATTTTGCTTAATTTTAGTCAGTTAAACCCACGGTGTCCAGAAGTATGTGTACCAATATGGAGATAACTAATTTGTTTTGCCTACTTTACATCAAGTTGTGTAATGGGACGGCAACCTATGGGCAGGGGGTATATTCAGTCGTGGGAATCAGCTGGTACGCACCGGTTGGTTCTATAGAACCTGAAAATTCGACATTTGTATGAAGGAACCGGCTGACAAAAAATTTGAATCCCACCACTGGGTATATACACTTGGCTAACACAGACAGCCCCCGAACTCATAATAGAACTAAAATAAGAAAAATGGGAATAAAATTATGGCCAAATCCTAACCTGGTACACATACTATGGGAGTATCAAGCCCACAATAAAATCGGACCATATTTTCACTATTCAGGCCAAATTGTTGGAGAATTACTGGAAGAAATCATGCCGATACTTCAATCTAACCTCAATCCAGAGAAAGATCCAGAATTGAGATTAAATTTTTTCAGCTTGCTTTCTAAATTGTTGCTGAACATTGACAATACGTTTAATTCGAAAAAGTAAGTGATTTTGGACACATTCATCATATCTTGTAATATTCTTGAATAATGTCACCCTTTCTTACCCAGGGTATAATAAATTGAGTAGGTAATGCCTAATTGGGTTGCTGTTTGTATAGGGCAGCACAAAATAATATGAAACTTGGCACATAAAATCTCAGTATCTGTCTTATTAAGCAATTCCACACAGCTAATGCTAACCTCGCATCAATTAAAACAATACAGTGACTTCGTAGTAGGATAATAACAATGCAAACAACTACGTAATGAATGTTTCCCCGACTTTCGATTCCCGGCAAATTTTCTTATATACTCTACCTGTGCAAAATTGTTAGTACTTATTTCAGGAGTGGTTGTTCGAGCCGGTGCCTATAAACCGGTTCTTGTGTTTCAAACCATCATTTTAATTCAAAACATTTCAACAACCTTTCATTTAAATGTACCTGTGGAAAAGTTTTGCTTAGTCTATCACAGCTATTTCTAGACGAATTTTTGATTCCTGCAATTAAAATACAACCCCTTCAGAGACAAATTGATCATTGAGTTATTTGATTTTGACTTATATTCACCAAAACAAAACTAAAAACTAACATATAGCACACGAAAACGGGGTAATATTCACCGCTATGAAAATCTGTTGTAGTAGGCTACATAAATACCCTACACAGACACATGCTTATATTTATTTCAAATTTAAATTGTTTTGCGACCCAGATTGGAGGGTTTTTGGGTCGCGACCCTGTATTTGCGGAGCCCTGGTATAGGGCATTGTTGTTCAGAGAAAAATGTGTGAAAAATGAAAACACATCAAGAAGGAATTTTATTTTTCAAACCAGGATGTTCGAATCAAGACATGTACAGACTATAATCACCGACATGATTGCTCCAAATTTGGTGTGGAAAGCTGGAAGGACAGCTGGTGCAGTTAGAACAATCGCTATATCATCGCTGTGGGCATTGTTAAAAAGTGGAGCATTAGAGCCAGATTTAGCAGCATCTCTTCTGCCTGACCCACTCCTTCCTCTTTTGTCTTCTACTCTTGAAGATGATGTTAAAAGTACAAGGAGTATTACAGCGAAATTGCTTACAAGGTTTGTTTGGTATCCCCCAAAAAAAATTTTTTTTTGACTCACATGCTGTACTATTTGTATCCACATGCTGATTATAAAACTTAGTTTATGCCTACTGCCCTGCTCATTTTTTATGATTCTTTTGATTTATATAGGAGTTTATTTATAACTTGATGTTTGAGAAAAGTATATAATATCTTGATTTTATGTGAATTTCATAGATCTGTTTCTCTTTAACCAAATCTATATTTATTTTCCAACGGTGCGAGAAGCAAACTTTTGGTTGTCAATTAGTCACTTTCTGTTTTGTTACATAGTCTATGGACTGTTCCTAATTTTTTAAATTACAAAGTGAATTTATTGATACCATATATTGTTTGTTGGTATACCTTGCAGGTTTATTGAATGAAGTAACAAAAACTTGAATAAACACTGAATAAAATAAACCTGGTTAGGATATATTGAAAACGGACTTCATAACAAGATTGAAAATGTAGGAGGACTTTATGAACACTCTGTATATCTCTTTTACACAGGTTTTTCTCACTTTGTCAAACGAGACTGAATCCCGACACAGTTCAACATAAAATATACATGGAGTTATTGAAGCGTTTGGATGATGCCAGCGATGAAATACGCTTGACTGTGGCTTCCACATGGACTACTTTTTTCAAGGTATTATCTTATTGTATGCAGGGCTGGTGAGACAGTGCCATGATTGAAGCTCTTGTTGGATATGGAGTTGGAGCCAAGCTACCAGAAATTTTGGTACTCCCATAGTGTGTGTACCAGGTTAGGGCCTGATTTTATTCCGATTTCCTTTATTTTAGTTCTGTTGCAAGTTCGGGGACTGTCTGTGTTAGCCGAGTGAATATACATACCTCCTGCCCATAGGTTTTAGTCCCTTTACACAACTTGATGTAAAGAAGGAGAACAAAATTAGTTACCTTCATATTGGTACACATACTTCTGGACACAGGGAATTTAGTGATTCCAGATCCTAACCATCTAATCATCTTTTTCACATCTATAGTTTTCTAATACTTGTTAGATTTAAAGTTTCAAGTTAAATTTGTGAATTTGAAAATGGTTACTTTTACAAGTTGGAACATTCTTATCATGGCTTGCAAATGTTTTGTGGTAGTGTTCGTACCAAAAAATATAATCGACTCCAATTTAAACTCTAGTACTGGAGCCACAGATTGCGATTATAATGTGGCGCTGTAGCTGGAGCCATTCTGAATTCCAACCAGCTCTTCGGCCCTAATTGTAGGAATATTTTTTGTTGGAAACACTGCTCTGTAGGCATACTGTAGTCCGATGCTGACGCAAAAAATGCAATCTTTTTGATTTTAACCAAGTTACTACATGGTACCTATTCTTCCAGATCATCATTCTGGTATTGTACTTTTTTGTTTCTAGTGCTTCCCAACAGATTATGATGTTTCTTTAAACCGAGCACATTTGGAAGAAATGTACAGTGGTTTACTGGTGCATATGGATGATCCTGATACAAATATACAGACAGCTGTGCTGGGTAAAGTTTTTTTTTATTAATTAAGCATAATGTAGTTTGTAGTTATTGTCTAGAATTGTTGATAAATTGTTATGTGTGATGGCTTTAGTGTTAAGGGCGTTTGAGATTATAGCTTTAAATCAGGGGTGTGCATCATTTTATGTTGGAGGGCCATGTAACCAACTTCAGACATTTAGCTGGAAAAGCAAGAGGAAAGATGGCGGCTATCACTCAGCCTCACTTGGAGTAATAAATGGACCGGGCAAAACGGCGAAAGATTTAACGCAGCAACAAGAGCAAAAAAATATCATGTATCCTTACCCATAAGAGCGCCGATTAAACATAAACTATCGGATTAGGACTTTATACTTGATGAGGAAAAATTCGAGTGTTGACAAGGGCCCTCCTGGTTTGATTGGCGGGCCACCTGTTGCACACCCCTGCTTCAAATGATTAGCCCATACCATTGCGATATATGGTTGACTAAAAAGGAAATTTGAATAAAATATTTTCCTAACTTTTCATGTATTTGAATTCACTGTTGAAAATATCATGAAATTAATTGCACTTTTGAAATGGTGTTATGAGCTTCAATGTCATTAGGTATACCAGTAGACATTTTGGAAATGTGTCAATTTACCTTGTAAAAAGATCACTATTTTATTGTAAATATACCAATATTTTGTTTTGTAGATGCTCTCAAGGTTGGTGGCAAAATAAATCCGAGTACATTGATCAAAGAAATTGAGAAAGTTAAACATAAACATCGTACTGCACATTACTGTGATGAGTTGATAAATTATCTGCAGAATTTGCCTTAAATTGGGTAGTAACCGTAGTCTCTGCTCTTACAATGTTGCAAGCTCATTTTGACTATGTTCCCTATTGTTTTGTACTTGTTTAAATGTACTATATTTATGTTATAGGTTCAAGGCATTGAACTATCTTGATCTTTTTTATAATTTTTTATCATCCTTCACCATTTTTAGGATATTTGTACTATTCAAATATTATTTTCTTTGACATTGTCCCCAAAAATGCTAAAACTGGCTGAAACAATGATGGCAGTCCATTTTTGTGTTGTTGACAGTGACACATCCTTGCAACAAAAGAAAATTTTTAGGACATTGTGTACATTCGTAGTTTTAGAAGTGTTTTTGCAATTTTGCTTTGGCTTCAATCTTGTGTTGATATGTAGGAAGGATTCACACGAAACAAACTGTATTGGGTTGCATACTTTATGACTAATGGTTGACACTTGGATAAAAAGCATTAGTTCATAATCTTGAAAGTTACATCTTTTTGTAGGTTTGTAGTGCTTTACTATGTGATTGATTGGTTATATCGTTTTGGTATAATTTCATTTAATTAAACATAAAATAAATTGTATGCTATTTTTCAACATATGTGTTGCTTTTCGACTCCGCGCACTTCCGAAAACCTATTGTCATGTGTCTATTTGTGCGGAGATGTCCAACCCGCGCGGCCTGCGGGAGTCTCGCACTTGTTTATCTTGTGAGCTGTTACCTCTCCTTGACAAAGCCGATGTTGAAGTCACATGCGGTTACTGTATTTTATAGATGGTTATTGGACACGGAGTGGACCTATCAATAGTTTTGTTATTATGTCTGTGTTAAGAATTTTCGTTGTGAAAAAATCGCCTTTCTCTACAAGTACTGGACCAATTGCATCGAAATTTTCAGTGCTTAAAGATTGTATTTTTCGCTAGAAGATTACGACTTTCATTCATTTATAATATTTTTGCGAGTCCTATGGGATTCGTTTTTTGTGTGTGTTACAACGTCATCAAAATTTGAGCATTTCGGGTCTGTTCCGCGAACGCACATCGGCGGATCTCGTGCTCGGTGGACCTCTTTGTTTGCATGTTTAACAAAGATAGTTGTACCACTCACTGGAACAACATCAAAGATTCCAGTCGATAATAAAAAGTGAGGATATGACATTCAAAATAAGGTTTCGCTACAGATAAAACTGTTGAAGCCACGAAAGAGATTTATTTTATTGCAGTCATCATAATAATAACAAGCAGTGGCGGCGCGTGGTCATTTTGACAACCGGGGCAAGCTACTGCGGGACCAAGTCACCCCCATCTACGGGGACAGGATGAGCGCTGTAAGTTCTCCCATCATTTTATGAGTATAAAAACCATTCCATCGGTAACAACCAATCGGCAAAAGCGACAATTTTTAACGATAAGAAAGTGTCTTTAAAACCGGTCCAAGTCAAGGGATTAATAAATATAGACATAGTTTATTTTAAAACCTCTTTCAAAAGGAAAGGCAATATTTACCCAGATAAATACAATGACATATTAACAGAAACTTCGGGAAAGCAGACAAAACCTAAAATAAGATTTAAAACGTTACTATGAAGAAAGGAAAGGTAATGCAAAGATAAGGACATGCGTCGCTCACTCATTTATATGCTGCTAGACTTCTACTGCTTGAACATATATGCAACACGCCGCGGTTTCTTGGAAGCAAAATGCTCAATAACGCGCTGATTAAAGTCATGCATCCCAGAAATAACGTCTCTGTGAATGGATAAAACAGCCAAGGAATTTAATCTATTTTGCTTCATTGTGTTTCTGAGCAATGACATTAAACAACATGATGCGCAACTCCGGCATTTTTGGCCGAAGATCGTATTCGATAGCACGCTCCAATGCACATACTTGACGAGACGAAAACGAGCGGATGTGTGTTGCTTTCAAGGCATAGCACGAATGGTGTTCGAGCCTGCTTCGACAATTGTTGTGGTTTTTTAATGATATGTGAAAAATTGAAGGTAAAAATAAATCGGAAAAAAGTAAGGTAAATACTATTGTTGTATATCACACCCGGGCATCGCACTGTTAAGTACATGCGGGAAAGCCAGCTTTTGTCAAATACTACGAAGTTATTAATTCAGTACGGTACGTAGTTGCCCATTTGCCGAAATTGCATATTTACTTACCCCTTATGGTTTCAAATAGTTCGTGCACCTCCATTTAGATTTTTTTAATCAGTGAGGATATATACTTATTGCTGTAACATACTATTGCTCATTCACTTTTATTTGCGTATTGGATCAACGGGTTAACAAGTTCACCTAAAATTTCACTCATACCGGTCTATATTGTATAGTCTGATCTCTCAGGTATTTGGAGCCACGAATGCTTATAATTTTCTGAATAAACCCCTTTATTAGTTGGTTTATATACCAAATTCAGTAAAACATTTTTTACAAAAAACATAAGATATTGGATTTATTAGCTTTTCCATTCTGAATCATATAGACTGCTTTATTTATTCTTAACGAAAATTAATACATCTCCTCTCCTACAGATGTGAAAGTTGTGGACAGACCTGTCTAAGCATTGTGAGACTCCTGCAGCACAAGAGGCAATAGCAATAATAGTGAGTATATTAATCAAGAAATTAGGCCGACATAAAACAAAACTTTCAACTATTCGTCTAACCTCAATTTCCTATTATTTATTCACAGGACAACTGTAGCTGAAGGGGCGATATCAGAAGTCTGGCGACATATCAGTGACAGTTTGATTCCAAGAAATATGATTAGAATACTCCATAAATGTTTGCAATAGAAGAACAACCTATGGAGGAATGCAAAGACATTTGACCCTCCGGTAAAGTTGTGTATGGCCCCTACATCCTGCAGGGCTTGAGGGAAATAACTAAAAATTCCAAAGCGTAAGATTGCATAAGCGGTCTTCTTTGTAAAAAGGCACAAAATATGCCAGACATACTTAAAACAGCTTTGAAAAATGAAGATTACGGTTCACTGACTACACCTGTGTTATATTTGGTTCATCAAATTTTGGTAGTACTATAGAAGAAATTCAGAAAAGGGTATAATCATGATTCATGATAAAATAATGTTATATATTTTGGACAACTTCAATCTAGACCAGGGATGTCAAACTCGCGGCCCCAGAGAACTTCCAGTGCGGCCCTCGAACGCTTAACAATAATTGTAATAGTATTTTGGAATTTTTTTTATTTAAATGTAAAAGATTTTTCAAACCTTTTAAAGTGAATTTGAATATTCACACAGAAAACAATTTACTGAAAGTAGTTTTAGAAAGTTAATTTTTTTTTGTTCACATTTTGACTCAATTAAGAATACACATCAAGCTAGCAAAAGAATACTGAATAAAACACTTGAGTGATTAAATTAAAGTACACGAAGAAGGTGGCATTTTCGAAGAAAATGGGAGTTGCAATATTTCTGCATTTCACAAAATTCTGAAGCACATTGTTTAATTTGTCATATTTCCATCAGTACAATGAAAAACACAATAAGCTCAGCAGTCAATATGACAAATTCGAAGACCAACTCCGAACAGAAAATTTTCATGTGTTTGTATATTAATATAAATATACAACGACTTAGTTACTAAAAATCAATATCAATAATAATTCAAGCAATCCTATGCCATGCAATGTAGCGTGAAATGTCTTGTCGAAAAAATCTGTCATTTGTTTTTTTACTGATCTATACATGAAATGATAAAAGTAACTTTTTTGCATTACTGGAATTAATTAAACTTTTGCAAAGATACAGATTAACCCATGATCATGTGACCTCGCTAGTTAGAGTTGGTACTATAAAATCATTTCAGCCTGGCCTTAGTATGCTGGTGACACAAAGAAGATGCCAAACGTCAGGACAAATGTAATTAAAAAAACATTGAGTTTATACTGTAGTATTTTTGTTAATTTTAGGTTCATATATTTAGATTAAGTCATTTTTAGTGTATATATTATTCGTTCCTTAACCAAGGCTTGTTCAAAAATGATTTTGATGGTTGTACATGGAATTTTATGATTTTTTGTAATAAATACAGTAACTTGCAATAATAGTGGAATGCAAATATTAATATGTAATTGCATTTGAAATTAAAGAAAATAATGAAACTTAATCCAACTGATTAGTTGCATCACAATATATGTCACAAACTAAAACTATCTGAAAAATATCTCTCGAGTATACATTATCAAAAACTGTTTGCGGCCCTTTTTACAATTTCCAACATGCAATGCGGCTCTCGAAACCCATGAGTTTGACACCACTGATCTATTCTAGACGATTCAAGCATTGCTTTGGGAAATAATATCACTTCAATTAAATTGAAAAAAAATTTCGCTATATTAAATACAAAACCGTTGCTATCATAAAGGTAAACCAATTCAGCCACTCGGAATATATTGGCCTTCACAAAGCAATGGAGGCAGAATTGAGAGTTCATGAGCTATGAACTTTTGTTCTATTCTTTGTCTTGAACTTTTCATACTCCACAGCCTCTATTAATTTTTTTTAATTTTAATTACCATGTGATGGTCATACATACTGTATCTTTGTATTTTCTGTCATGATGTATTATCTCAATGTGTCAAACTTTTAATTAGTGTGTATATTTTGCTTGCAGATGACATGAATGTATTGTCTTGCTTATTACCTCAGCTTGGAGTATTGACAAGAAAAAAGTGCCCGTAAATTACGTAAAAAATGTTTAACTCTTTGATATAATCAGAATTCACATTTAATAGGAATTATAAACAGCCAACAATCAATGAGAATTATATGCAAAATTCCTCAGATTGAATTTGTCTTCTAAAATCGGAGGAAGGCAAAACATATAGGTAGTTTCCATTCACACAAGTCTTTCAAGAAGACTTGCTCGAGACAAACTAAATGAGCATCGTCAGGTGATTGGTAAGGCTGCAAGTTGAATCAGCCCTGCAATCTCCTGCATAGAAGATAATATTAATTAGCGGGCTATGAGCTAAATTCCTAAATTTAGACACAAACCTATCTACGAGGCATTATGTACCAGTAATGTTACCTACGATTAACTGAATATGTAATATGTCTAATAAATTCACCTACTAAAACAAGTTCGATAGGTGCAAACTTTGTGTTATGGAATTGTATCACAGCACCTTTAAGAGAAGTAAAAACAGTTTTGCTGTTTTGTATGACACCCTCTTTAAATGAAATTTCAATGTTTAAGCGCAAACATTAAAATTACTAACTTTGAACTTTGTCATTATCTGCAAAATGTTTCACACAAATCTTTACGCTATCGCGTTTGTAATATTCTCTGATAAAAAAAAACGTCTATGATGTTCAGAATTACTCTTTACAGCTTGTCTGCCATTCCAGCTTTCCAAATGAGCAAAACTTCTCAGATATAGAGATTATTTTCTTTCGTTACAGGCGCAAAAAGGCAGGTACTACACGTAAAGAAGACGCCGAGTAGCAAAAGCAATCGGAAAACCGGCGACGAGAAATATGTGCATTGGAGCGTATCATGAAATACAATCTTTCGCATGTAGTCTTATGGAGTGACGTCAGAGTTGCCTATCATGTTGT